ATGCAACTTATAAAATGCTAAATGCTTTGTGTTGCTATAGAAAGGGGACATGTCGTAGGTCATGATCCTTGAGATGCACATTTAAATAATGTTATCCATATTTGTAAATTTTAAATATTGTTAATAAAACAAAATATTTACGAAGGAAATAAGAAATTTATGTAATGTGATTTTATAAATAGACTACTAAGGCAAGGTGTACCCCCAAGGGGATACACCTTGCCGACGATAATTAAAAATCTTATATTATGGGCTTTGCGTTCTATCTAAAAGACCGACAGGTAATGGATGGCACGCAATATGGGAAAGGTGGTGAATGGCCAGCAGCAAATCGAAAACTAACAAAGACCGAATACTCAAACCACAAACGGTCAGTTTAAGCGTGACATCGCAAAAGACAAAGCTCCTTTAAAGTTGAAAGGTATTTACAAAAGTGTTATATTTGTTTTTCTATATATTTATATATTAATATACATATACATCTAGTAGCTACGAATACACAATGGTACCCCCAAAAGTTTTGGTCCTGGGACACTCATTTGTTCGTCGCCTACAGTGCGACCTGAAACGTAAGCGGGATATTCGCATGTGCCCGACCTTTAAACTCAAGGGCACAGCGAGAGTTTATCTACACGGTATAGGGGGTAGAACAGTGGAGAAGATCCGCAAATATGATTTAGGGGTAGTTTCTCGGTGTGCCCCAGATATTGTTATTCTGGAGATAGGCACGAACGATTTGTCCGCTTTAAGGCCCGAAACAGTCGGTTCACGCATTGACGACTTGGTTGCTCTAATGCTAGATCAATATCGCGTAAAATTGGTATGCGTATGCCTGATTTCCCCGCGAAAGAACAACCCTCTTTTTGAAAAGCAGCGTTTAATGCTAAATAATTACCTACAGGTAGTTTTAGAGAAGGTCCCGAGAGTGTTTTTATGGACACACCATGGCTTTATACGACCTTCCGTGACGCCATTTCTACCTGACGGGGTCCATTTTAATAGAATCGGGCAATATAAATTATACCGAAGTTATCGGGGGGCAATTCTTCAAGCAATTAAAATGTTATAAAATTCTTTCTCTCTATATATATATAACAAGCTGCATGTCGTACGTTACATTTACTTTTCTATAACCTTGAAATTTGACAAACTTTACTCGTGATTACTTCTTATGAAGCGCCTTAGCGCCTTTATCTATTCTATCTTTATCTCTTATCTATATGAGAGTTCTCACACTGTTTGTGAGTTTAGTTGGCCATATGATGAACGGTGCGGCAATCTTCGGATCTGTCATGTTCATCCTGCTGACGTTTGACTTTGTCTTTATCTCTCATCTATATGAGAGTTCTCACAAGTTTTGTGAGTTTGTTGTTGGCCATAGGGTGAATGGTGCGGCGATCTTCGAATCTGCCATGTTCATCCTGCTGACGTTTGATTTTATCTCTCCTCTATATGAGAGTTCTCACACTTTTTGTGAGTTTTTTGTTGGCCATAGGGTGAATGGTGCGGCGATCTTCGGATCTGCCATGTTCATCCTGCTGACGTTTTATAATCATTCTTTCACACATTCCAACTTTCAATTACGACAAAATTAATAACGAACGAATCCTCACTATTGAATGTTCGCCTTACGGGGGATAGTTTTATTTCTCGCACAACGACAAAAATTTGGGTACGGTTGCTTTACTATCTTTAACTCATCACGCCATAAGTATCTATTTCTGCTTTTAAAGTTTTATTTTTTAGAATGCCACCCGTGCGTCGTTCTAAGCGTGTCGCCGCTCCATCAGCCGTTTTGCGAGAGTCTGTTCAGAACCAACCAACAACATCTCGCCGAACTCGAAGTTCGCCCGATGCTGTATCTGTTGGTGCCACCCCGTCAACGTCAACTGTGCCCGTGAGTGATGTGGCTTTGCCCTCTCTTTCGAGTGAGCTTATCTCAACACTGGTGTCTTCGGTTACCGAGGCAGTCACGCAAAAGTTAGCTGGCTTCTTACCAACCTCTGCGTCTTCAACATCCACAATGGCGTCTGCCCCAACAGAATCTACCTCCGGAATCGAAATCTCAAACCAGGGTCCCAATGCAGATTCTCTGGTCAACGACGCGCTCACGTCCATACAAGAAAACCTTACAGGTCAGACCACTCCTTTTTCTCTTCCATGTTCAAGTGCTCCGGGTCCACGGGAATCGTTCCACTCTGCCGCTTTGCCTCTTGATTCGCGGATTCCGGATAAAATAAAGTTTAAAATATGGAATGAGGAGTTTGTCGATATAAGTACTTTGTCAGGTGGCCCAGACGCGGCCGCTAAATACGAGATTAGTGTACGGACCTCTGACAACGGTCAACCTGCTTCTCTTTTTCTTGAGCCGGCTGCGAAATCCAAAAGGGTCAAAACTATTAGCGATTGGCTTCGTTCGTTTCATATTTTTGTTTCCATTTATACACAACGGTACCCTCATGAGTCCCCCGCGCTCATGAAATATTGTCAAATCATCCAGGATTTGGCCAATAGGGGTCATAATTGGTTTTACTACGATGAGAATTTTCGATTTTTGCGCCAAACACAGGCCACGCGCGTTCCCTGGGCGACCGTTCACTGGGAGTTATGGTTGAAATCTCAATATCCCACTACGTCTAAGCCGAACACGCAAGGCAACAATTATACGCGCCACCCTTCAAAGGTGTCTGTTCCTCGGGGATATTGTTTTAAGTTTCATCGCGGAACGTTTTGTGCCGGTTGTGATTTCAAGCACATTTGTTTTAAATGCAACGGATCGCACCGTGCCGTGAATTGTAATTTTCGTGCCAATAACAGACCATCTCCCACTGATCGATCGCCTAAGCCTATTTCAACAAAGTCGGTTGCCAACACCCGTAAAACTTCATAATTTACAAATATTGTTAGAAGGTTATCATCCAAGTATTGTTACTACACTAATTTCCAGATTTACTTCGGGTTTTCGCATTCTGTAAATAACGTTGAGAACCGGAAGTAACGCGTTGAACGTCATAATTAATTAAATTCAGAGCACGTGATAGAGCATAAGATTGAGGGTTATAAGTTTTTGTTTTTTGGTTATTGTTAAAATTTCATATGAAGTGAAATATACAAAATTGTTTGTTGTTGTGAAGCGATTTAACGATTGAATGGGAAGCAAATTCGAACGATCATGAAATGGCGCCCAACGTGGGGCTTGTGAGTCCCTTTATGAACGAAATTTAATTCGAAAAACACGAACGAAATGTCGAAAGAAGGTATAGAACGACTTCGCGCTAAACGAGGCGGTCATCGTGGCGTGACCACCAAGCTAGTAAAAGAAGCACTCGAGCTTCTTCAAGCAACCGACGTAGACATTGAGCGATGCGAAGTCATTTCAGGCCAACTCGAAGAGAAAATGAAGATTTTAAACGTCATAAACGAAGAGATTCTTAGCATATGTGAAGTAGACGAGATTGAACGCGAAATCGAGGATGCAGCAGTCGTTGCAGACCGAGTTTTAAACACGAAAAGCAAAATCGAAGGAGCAAAGAAGTCCACAAAGGTAGGAAATGTTAACATTTTCGCATCACCAAGCCCCAGTGTTTCACCTGAAATTGAAAACAGCCCGAGTACAATGGAAGACACAGGTAACATAGCGACGAATGAGAATGTAACTGTAAGAAATGATGGTGAAAACGATGTCAATGCGATAAATGATACGAGTATAAATATCGAAGCGAGCATTGCTAGTACGAACACGAGTTCAACGATTGCCAACGTCCCCATGAGTCCCACACCATCATTGTCGACACTACCAAAACTACCGAAATTAGAACTTCCTAAATTTAGCGGGAAGGTTACAGTGGAGTTCCTTTTGGGATTTGTACAACACTGCCATTCATAGTAATGCCAATATATCAAAGGTGACCAAGTTCAATTACCTGTTTTCGTTACTTGAAGGAAACGCTGCACGCGCTATCAAAGGGCTTACGCTTACATCTGCCAATTACGACGCAGCTATTGAAATTTTACAAGAAAGGTTTGGCAAAACACAGCAAATCATTGCTGCACATATGGACCAAATCTTGCAAATTCCGACATGTACAGAAGGTCGAACAGGGCAATTGAGATTTGTATTTGATAAAATCAGCGTTAATGTTCGTGGACTGGCATCGCTTGGGATTGCCGCTGACCAGTATGGCAGCATGTTAATACCGATAATCATGTCCAAATTGCCATCTGAAATTAGATTGCAAGTAGCGCGTAAGGCATCAGGCAATGTCTGGAAAATCGACGAGCTGCTCAGCACCATCAAGTTTGAAGTTGAGGCACGAGAATTGAGTGAAACAACCCGTTCGAATAATAGTGAAAAGGGCCCCAATAAACCGAAGTCAAACACACAACCAACTGTGGGATCCTTTGTTGTGAATAGAAGTGATAGAGACGGTAGTACTGGTTTCAAAATTAAATGCGCGTACTGTAACGAAGTGCACTATTCTGCGTCATGTGAAAAGGTAACGGACAGGGAAGATCGAATAAAGATTTTACGCAATTCGAAGCGTTGTTTTGTTTGTCTAAGAATAGGCCATCAAGCAAACAAGTGTGATGCCACCAAGAAATGCCGCCATTGTTCTGGCAAACATCATCAGTCAATATGCCCTAGCAACAATTCTCACCGCACTGAAGGCGAAGGTACTAACCGAACCCTAAACAATACCCGTCAAAAAATTGAAGAAACCAAGAAACCAGAAGTACCAGAAGATACCAAAACACCCATCACCACAGCTGTTACCCAGACAACCAAGGGAACTGTTTTGTTGCAGACAGCCAGAGCGATAGTGTCAAATGGTTCCAGGGTTCTTCCCGCCCGTATTTTGTTTGATACAGGAAGCCAAAGGTCCTACATCCGAAGATCGCTCCAGAGTAAGTTAAGATTGAGCCCAGTGGGTAAAGAAACTCTTCAACTAAACACCTTTGGTGAAAACAAATCAAAACGCGAGAACTGCGAGGTATATCAAATGAATATCACAAACAAGAATGGTGGCGAAAGCATTGAAATTACAGCAATTGGGTTTCCAACAATTTGTGCACCCCTTCCTTCGAAGGTAAACGTAAGTGACTATTCACATCTCGATGGCTTGGAACTTGCAGACTTTGACTGTGAAAACAACAACGATGGCGACAACATTGATATTTTAGTGGGTGCAGACCACTATTGGGACATAGTTACTGGCGACGTCATGCGAGGAGAAAATGGACCAACTGCAGTGAGTAGCAAATTGGGTTGGCTTTTATCGGGATGCGCGAAGCATCTTCAGCCGGACGGCTATACATTTAACAACCTTATTTTAGCAGGAGAACGGTTCGACAACTCCAGTACGGTGACTGATGACGATGAGTTAACCACGTCGTTAAGGCGTTTCTTGGAAGCAGAGAGTGTAGGCGTTGATTCCATTGATTCAGAGATTCCTTTAAAGGAACAAAGCTTTGTTCGCGATATTCGATATACAGGGACACGCTATGAGATCAGTCTTCCATGGAAAGAACATCGCCCAGACATCGAGGATGATTATGAGCTATGTCGTAATCGGCTAAAATCGTTACAACAGAAGTTACTTAAGTATCCAAGTCTTCTTGAAGAGTACAACAAGAATATAGAAGAGCAATTAGCAACGGGAGTCATTGAAGAGGTCCAGCCTTCGAATAAAGATCAGGACATTCATTATCTTCCTCATCACTGTGTAATCCGGAAAGACAAGGTTACCACGAAATTACGCGTCGTGTACGACGGGTCAGCTACCACAGAAAAGCGGAACTATTCATTAAACGACTGTTTGCTTACTGGTCCAAACCTCATCCCGCAAATATTTGATATGCTGGTGAAGTTCAGACAAAATCCAGTTGGACTGGTGGCAGACATTGAGAAAGCATTTCTAATGATCGGAATAAGCGAAGAAGATCGAGATATGCTGAGATTTCTATGGTTCAAGGATGCGAGGGATCCACATTCCGAAATTCTGAAGCTTAGGTTTTGTCGATTGGTTTTCGGTCTAAGACCCTCACCGGCTATTCTGGGAGCCACCATTCATCATCATCTCGACTCGCATCAGAAGCAGAAACCCGAAATTGTGGAACATTTAAAGAAATCGCTATATGTAGATGACTTCGTATCGGGGGCCGAGAATGACGAGGAAGCACTTACGATATACAAAGGTACGAAGGAGTTAATGAGCAGTGGAGGATTCAACTTACGAAAATGGAGTTCGAACTCCAAACACCTTGCTACGATCATCGACGAGTTGGAAGATAAGAGAGCCAAGGATTCAACCAATGCATCGCCCAAGGTTGTTCAGGACGACTTGACATTTGCGAAGTCAACAATTGCCAAAGAATCCACAGTCGAAGAGCCCACACAAGTCAAGGTCCTAGGAACTGCATGGGACACAGTCGCAGATGCGTTCTGTTCAACTTGGAAGAGTTAATCGAGTATTCTAAGTCACTTCCAGTTACGAAAAGATCCTTGTTAAGTTGGTCATCAAAGATATTTGATCCATTAGGATTGTTATCCCCTTTCACGATAAAGCTGAAGATGTTATTCCAGATATTATGTTTGAGTAAGGCTGATTGGGACAGTGAGCTGTCAGACGATTTAAGTAAACAGTGCAACGCCTTAAATCTCAGAGTTAGAGTTCCTAACAAAGATTCGAGTGCCAAGATGCTATTATCTTTCCGATTTGAATCGTTCCATTACGCAAGTGCACGGATTCAGCGATGCGTCGGAACGCGCTATTGGCGCAGTAGTCTACGTAAGAACAGTGTACGAGAACAGCCACGTTGATGTGAAACTAATGGCCTCGAAAACAAAGGTCGCCCCAGTCAAGAAGCAAACTATTCCCCGTTTGGAACTTATTGGAGCAACATTGCTAGCGAATTTAGTAAATTCCCTGTTGAATGCGCTAGAATGGAACGTAGAAATATTCTATTGGGTCGACTCAATGACTGCGCTGCATTGGATAAGAAATGATCGACATTGGAAACAAATGTCCAACATCGAGTAAACAAGATTAGGAATCTATCGTCCATAGAAGCTTGGCGATTCTGCCCGGATCGTTAAATCCAGCGGATTTGCCCTCGCGTGGCATATCTGCGAAGGAACTTCCGAACAACTCACTATGGTTTAATGGACCCGAATTTTTAACTAAAGATGAGGATCAATGGCCAAAATGTCCAGTAACTAGTGGAACAGAAGCCGACGAGGTATCGCGAGAGATGGCAAATAAACCTTCGAACGTTGTAAGATCACTTGTCATAACAAAGAAGATTCCGAACTTGTTAGATATTAGCAAGATAATCGACATAGATCGTTTCAGTTCCTTGAAAAAACTTCTTCGAGTGACCAGCTACGTGTTGAAAGTCGTCAACGTGATGAAGGTATCAAGATCCGGGAAACGATCAGAATCCCAGAATTCGTGCAATTAACAGCAAATGAAATTCAGCAGGCCGAGTTATTGTGGAATAGTCGAAGCGTTTAAAACCGAATTACCTTTGTCTCTTTGGGCGATTCGAAATCAACCCCGCCTGTTTATGTTAACCAGTTTGGACTATTTCTGGACGATGATCATGTCTTAAGGTGCAAGGGTAGATTAAACAACGCATCGTTAGAACTGGGAAGCAAAAATCCGATTTTGCTTCCATGCAAGTCAAGGTTCGTCGAGTTATTGATACGCGAGATCCACCATAAGATAAAACACAGCGGATTACGAGATACATTGACGACCATCCGTGAGCGTTTTTGGGTAATACGTGGCGTGAGGCAGTAAAAGAATTATCAAAGTTGCCAAACGCCGTTTTGAGAGTGTATAAGGAACCACGCTTTAACATAGATCACCCTGTAAAGACACCAGACCGAGGAGTGTCAAAACCATTCATCTCAGCAACTCAATGGTCAAAACGTTTATATTAACTATAACTTTATAACTATATATGATATAACTATTTAATATATATATGAATTAAAAGGTCGACACAGACGAGCAGACGAGCAGACGTGTGTTGACGAGAGAGATAAGAAATTTGGTGACAATATACGAACAGCCATGACGAACAACACCACAAAGCAAAGTGTACTGCACAATCTATCGGTCAACGATAAAGACAAGCTTATTTGGTCGGGTTCATTCGATGCTCTACAACAATTTGTCGAAGATGTGCTAGATTTATCTGGTGGAAAATGGTCTTCTCCTGGGGGAGACGCGAAGGCATACGAATGTGAAGAGGTATCAATCCGATGGTATCCGAAAACAAAGTCGATTACAGTTAGCGGGAAGGACAAAGACCAGATCGAAGAAAAGCTAAACTCTGTCGCTTCAATATCAAAGCGACTACCTGCAGTAAATATTAATCCTGCAAATGATGAATACTTAAATAATCAGCTGCAAGATCTAAAGAAGGAATTTATCGAAAACTTCGCAGCCATAAACTCTACTCTACTAGAACATTCTAAAGAGTTGAAAGATTTGAAGAACCCGGAGACGGAAAACGAGCTATGTAGGCTCCGAAGAGAAAATCTCGAACTTAAAGACCAAAACGAAGCCCTGACTGAGAGGGTAAATAATCTAAGCCATACTATCTCAGACCTGTATGGAAAAATGAAGGCTGTCGAGGAAGAAAAAGCAAGTTTAATAACCTCTATACGGTTGTTATACACCGATTTAAAACCTGAGGAAACCAATCAGCTATCCCACCGACAAGCCGAGAAACAAGTCGATGCTAATGACCTAAGTAAATGCCACTCAATCCCGCTTCAAAATCAATTTTCTTCACTCAGCATCGAGGAAGCTGACAAAATTACATCAGCGTCAACGAAAGATACTGAAAATCAATCTTCTGGGAAGCGCGTAAAAGAGGAAATAGTTGTTATAGGGGATTCGATAGTCAAACATATTGACCCGAGAAAACTTACAAAGAAAAAAGTTCATAAATTTACATACCCAGGGAAAACCACTGAACAAATTGAAAAGGAGCTAAATTCTATTAATATCCAATCAACCCCCTCCCACGTAATTGTTCACGTTGGGACAAACAACATCCCAACGGATTCAACCGAAGTATGTGCGAAGAAAATGGAAAACCTTGTCGTCAAAATTAAAGCGAAATTTCCAGACTCAAAAGTTGGTCTTTCAGGAATTACGTTAAGACAGGACATTGAAGCAGCTACAAGCATCCAGGAAGTCAACAACAAACTCAAAGAAATATCTGCCAAGCATAAGGTCGCTTTTATAGACAACTCCTCTATAGATAATACATGTCTAAACGGGAGTAATTTGCACCTTAATGGTAAAGGTTCAGCATTTTTAGCCACTCACTTTATTAAATTTCTAAGAGGAGAACATCATTCAAGACCACGTAGCCGTTCTGGTGAGGATTTTCGTACGTCGACTCTCAACCAAGTAGGGGACCTGCTGAAAGCGATTCTCGCAGGGACATCTCGAACAATATATGTTAACTTCAACAAGGTGTGATCCGGGTTCTGAACCATGCCATCAGATGAGTAACAAATCAGATAAGTCAATATTAAATGAATTAAATAGCTTGAAGGGTATAAAAATTGCATGTTTAAACATCAACAGTCTTCCAAAGCATATTGATGAGCTTCGAATTATTATGCAGAATAAGCCCTTAGATATTCTAGCAATTAATGAGACTAAAATTGATGATTCATTTTCGGAGAATGAAATTAGCCTTGTCGGATATCACCTAATTCGAAAAGATCGTAATAGGTACGGAGGCGGTGTACTTTTGTATGTCCGTGACACCATACCCTTTACCGAACGAAAGGACTTGCTAACATGTTCACTAGAAATGATATGCATAGAAATCAGTAGACCATGTAGTAAGTCGATTCTAGTAAGTACATGGTATAGACCTCCCAATTCAGATGTACAGGTATTCGACGACTTTGAAGTTTTTCTTAGCAAATGCGACTTAGAGAACAAAGAACTAATACTTTTAGGTGATTTAAATTGTGACATCAGCAAATCTCCTCCTGATCCCCACACGTAGATTACAATTTTTATTGTCTCTTTACCAATTTGATCAACTAATTAAAGAGCCTACAAGGGTAACGAAAACGACAGCTACCCTGATCGATCTGTTTATCACGAATAAGAAGCAAAATTTTGCAAAATCAGGAGTTATCCATCTAGGTATATCAGATCACAGTTTAATTTTTGCTGTTAGGAAACATTGCGCTTTTAATTCTCGACAAAACGTAACATATGCTCGAAATTTTAAAAATTTTAATGCTACTGATTTCCTTAATGATCTCTCCCAGATACCCTGGGAAAATGTGGCACAGCATGACGATCCAAACCACTTGCTATCGAATATGGAGGTCCTATTACTTGCAAGTACTCGATCTGCATGCACCGTTAAGACGCATGAGGGTTCGGGGCAATTCCCTCCCTTGGATTACTCCAAATATTAAAAAGCTAATGCGAATGAGAGATTTTCATAAAAAGAGGGCTGTAAAATTTAAATCTCAAATCCACTGGGCTAAGTACAAAGAAACTCGCAATAAAGTTCACTCAGAAATGTATAAGGCAAAAAAAAACTTTTTCTGCAAAAAAATTGAAGATTGTGCTCTGGCAAAAGACCCTAAACAAAGCTGGAAGCTAATTAACGAACTTCTGGGGAAAAATAATAGAGCGAACAATATTTCCCAGTTAAAAATAGACGAAAATATTATTTCTGACGATATAAAAATGGCAGAGTCCTTTAACGAACACTTCGTGAGTATTGGGGCTAAATTAGCCGCCGAAATTGAGAATAATTCCTTGGACCCAAGTTGGTCAGAAAATGTCAATTCCCAATCAGATATACAATTTAGATTTTCAGAAATTAATGTGCATGATGTATTCCTTCAGTTATATAGACTTAAAACATCAAAATCGACAGGCATTGATACTATTCCAGCAAGGGCACTCAAAATTTCAGCTGAAGTAATTAGCCCATCATTAACGTGGATATTTAACCTCTCGATTAGAACTGGAATCTATGTAGACGAATGGAAAAAAGCTTGGGTTCTACCGATTTTTAAATCTGAAGACAGACAAAAGCGCGAAAATTATCGCCCAATTTCAATTTTACCAATTATTAGCAAAATTTTTGAGCGTTCTGTTTTCAACCAATTGTATGAATTTTTGAGTGAGAACTCTTTGCTTTCTAAGTATCAATCTGGATTCCGCCCAAAGAATTCGACTTTGACTGCACTTATTCAAATGTGTGAAGCATGGTACGAAAATATAGATAATGGCGACTTGAATGGTGTAGTTTTTCTTGATATTAGGAAAGCTTTTGATTCAATTAATCACAATATCTTATTGCACAAAATGAAAGATCAATTTGGAGTTTCAAATATTGAATTGAAGTGGTTTGAATCTTATATTTCTGATAGGGAACAAGTATGTTTTGTCAACGGCAC